GATAAGGAGATATGTGGGCTTTAACAAGATTGCTATTTGCCTAAGTGTAGCATTCGCAACATTCGCCATTCAATGCTAGACTGAGGCCAATAGCAGTCTTGTTGAAGCCTACATGTCTCCCTAATTTGCTGAAAAAGATTTCGATATGTGCACGATTATAACTTTGACTTTTGTACACATGTGAAGTTGTACCGCAGGAAGCTACCTAGTCAGTGTGTGCAGCTCTCGAAAAACTGATTCTTGATTTACGCACTTTCCCAGTGCTTAAATGTGTATAAAAATATTCATTTTACTAACAGGAGGGGCGCTACTGCACGAATGGCCCTGGATGAATTCCAGGACAATCCAGCGTACATCAGTCCGAACTTCCAAAGATGATTAGTTATTGCTAAGAGCGATAGTTACTACGCGAAACACATCGATAATTTCATTTTGGAAAGATAGGAGTAAGTGAAGATGTTGCATAATCACACAATGCAAAACAAGGTCACGGTCTGGAGACTCTTGGATGGGCAGTCCTTTTATATTTTTGCCTCATGGCCTTAACCTACTACAACAGATGACCACCTGTTCCTCTCTCTAGCTCATATTCTCGGAGAGTAATTTTTGGAAAGCAACATGATCTCAAAAACGGCATTATATCCCTTTTTCAATACCAAGCTCGGAGTTACATGCTATTTATATTACCCATGCCAGATAATCGTTTCTTGTGGATAATGATTTATGTAATCATTTCAGTCAAAATAATCATTTGGAACAATAAAAACCATATCCAAGCGGCTCGAGTGCTTCAGAGACTAAGAAAGAACCCAAAAGCTTTAACACAGTGATTTTTGGCCTGTTTTTGTTTGTTAACTGCTGTTTTTGGCCGCAGTTCGCCTTGCGAATGTTTCACAAGAATGCTGGGTTGTGAACAAAACTTTCGCCCCAGGCGGGACTAGAACCCGCACCTCTCGCTTTCCGGGCAAAGTTTTGCCAACTTTCAGCCTCGCAGTCATTGCCGATATCGACTGACCGGCTAAACGCGTTATACGTTTGAGTGCTGACAATCTATGGTATCCATGCCCGGATATCGTACCGAATAAAATGATGTATACCATGAAAAGCTGAGTTGGAATGAAATGGTGCCCCGGTAGCGTAACTGGTAGCGCACTTGCCCGGAAAGCGAGAGGTGCGGGTTCTAGTCCCGCCTGGGGCGAAAGTTTTGTTCACAACCCAGCATTCTTGTGAAACTTTACAGCAGTGTTCTCAGAAAATATTGCAGCAACAATTTCCGCCGAATTGTGTCTTTAGGATTCCGCTTAAGGACGTCGCTTCCACTTTGGCTCTCTGAGAGTGCTACGAACTATTTAGGGACACTTCCCATGAATATGTTGGTTTTTCAGTTCGAGTCAAAAATCGG